GACTGATAGGAAGGAAGCGGTCAAAAATTGAAATCAACATTTTAAGTCAATGGTTGGCTGCAGAGGTAGAGGTGTTTACTCCTCAAATCCGAACTTGGTTTACGTTTAGTGGACATGAAATAACCTTATTGGACAATTTGTTTAACCTTGAACAAATTGTCAACCAATCAGAACAATCTATTTTCCTCTGACTCCCATTACAATAGTAGGGAATCGAATGGCTTTAGTCGCATATCGAGATTTTAATAAACTGTAGTTAGGTAAATATCAGTAGAAACTGTTAGACATTATAAGACTAACAGTGGATAATACACCTATAAAACTAGTCAATCTTCAACCATGTATACTATCATTTAATAAATAAATACTAGCGCCAGTCAGAGACAGTTTTGATAGCCAGTTGTAGATACACTGTTTGTAAATAGATCTACCAATGGAATCATCGTTGGAGAGTGAGTTTTAATTAAACAAAGCTTGCAATGTAACCGTATATGCGATACCTGATTCTAAACTCTGGCCTAGATTACACATAGTTCATAGGTACTAGCCCTTTCTGTTTTATACCTGATTTATTTCTTCAACACAGTTTTATCAGGGTTGACGTCAGTCAGAGAACCACTGGAAAATCAACAGGGAGTTTCCTTCTTTGGGACTCTTCATCAGTATGCATCCACTGGAGTTCGAACCCATGACCTTCCGGTTACAATGCGAGCGCTCATACACCATTCAGGCACTAGGATCCGATCCAATGGTCTATGAATTCCAACTTCTGTCAGTTCGTGATACATATTTAGCGCAACCGTCAGCGTGCAAAACAACACTTGATAATTAATTTAATGTTCACTGGCGCCTGGTTCTTTACAAGAAGTTGTCTGGAGTTCTAGTGAGAAGACGTAATCAACAGAGTCTACCAAGTCAGACAAGAGGATGGTTACTTGCCTGTGACACTGGATGGTGGTCGCGCTAAATATAATATATCACAAATTGGCAGAAGTTGGAATAAATAGACCATTGGGTCGGATCGCAGTGGATGAATGCTCTACAAGCTCACCTCGTAGCCAGAAGTCCCTGGGTTCGATCCCTAGCGGTGGGTGCGTACCACCGAAGAGTTCCAAGGAAGGAGGACGAAACAACTGTCCAGTGCTCCCAGGTTTCCCAATGATTCTCTATCTGATCTGACCTCGTAATTAATCCTGTAACCAATCAAATCACTGTGAGCCAACACTTCACAGTTTAATCATTTGATAAATAGGTATTTAAAGTGTTGGTTTGTAGGGATTTGATTGGTTACAGGATTTTCATCATGAGCTGACATTAGTTAAAGAACCATTGGAAAACCCGAGAGTACTGGAGAGCTGTTTCGCCCTAGTTTGGGACTCTTCATCAGTACGTACCCACCGGGATTCTTTCTTTCATATAAAAGAAAAGAAGGCGTTCAGCGAAGAAACTCTCTTCGGCGAATTCATTCACTGAGCTGTACAATCGCATTTATATACAACTTTGTTTGTGTGTGCACGTTAGATTTATAAAGTTTAGACAATTACGTAATATAAGTATTATTTGGCTTGGAAACAAACGTTAATTAGATAGAAAATAAAATAAAATTGATTAAGTGAACTGGATGACGTAATACGATTGAGTAGAATTCAGAGTAGGTCAGGTTGGCAACAGTGTTAACGAGTGGTGGTTAAAATTAAATAAGGGTGGGGGTAGAGAATAATACAGTTGAAAATTAAGTAAGTTAATCGGATGACGTAATATAGTTGACTAGAGATTGCGTCAATTATCAAAGTCGTCAGTGCGATGAATTGACGGTCTTAGTAAGCCTGTAAAGTCTTACTCAATACAACATTTTTTCTCGGAAGTGCAACAACAGTCAGTCGAATTCAAAAGTGAAACAGAATTAGAAGGTAAATTATCATTCCTAGACGTCCGGCTAGCTTACAAGACGATAAGATGAAGAAGCCCACAAAGATCAATCTACCACAAGCCAAAATGAAATAGACAGCTGGCAAACTGTCAAAGTTTTGTCCTAATGATCAGAAAAAGAAATCTCATCGCCTCTCTTGTGATGAGAATCCACCGTATATGCACTGAAGACGCATTGAACAATGAATTAGAACTCTTCAAAAAATGCAAGGGAGATACAACTAGTGAGGTTCTCCGAAGCCGCCTGTCGACAGCGATTCTAAGAACGTTCTTTGTTGCATCTCTGCGCCTCACCTCCTTTAAAATACCTTTTATTCACCAAAAAGTCAAAGCCAAGATTCCGCTGTTGGTCACTTCGAAGTGTATTTATCAATTCATGTGTTTCTGTGGAGCTAAGCATATAGACTGTACCAGCGGGACATTTTCTAGACGTGTCTATGAACACTTATCAGTATGGCTGTCAAAAGAATACAGAACAGTCAACGGCTCAACTCCAGAGCACATTATTACTTCTGGTCATGCAGCATCAGTAGAGACTTCTTTCAAAGCCATATTTAAAATACAACCATTTCGTTAGAAAGGATTTCGTTTACACATTCTTCATGCAGCCGAAGCCTTATCAATGCTCAAGGAGAAACATGAACTTTGAGTTCATAAACGTTTCACCCAGCCTCTTTCAGTAGACTCGCCTTGGTACTATACTACTGTTGTTTTTTTCCTTCTTTGTACAATAAACTCTAAGTAGTTCGTTTTATGTTAATGGCAACTTTTTTTCAATCTTTTGTTCTCTTGACCCTATCAATTATTTCCAAACGATCATTCATTACTCAACTAATTAGTTGCTAATCCTCCTGATTACGTAAGACTATTCCTAGTTTTTCAAACATAGTTATCACTCATAAACTTTGACTTGCTTTGTTACTAACTGACAATAACCTTTGACCTATGTTGTTAGTCTACACTGCCTTCAAAATAACTGTACGACTTTGAAGTGAGATTATGAAAAGACATCTCTTTTGATGACACTCATGCGTTCTTAATATTTTAAAAGGTTGGTTTTCATCAAAACCAGAGATTGATTGATTTACTTGAAGAAACAGTCAACATTTTGTAGCAAAAACTTGTTATAACAATAAGCCTGAATAGACAGATTTAATGAAATACAACACTGCTTAAAGAAAAGTAAAGGCGCTCGGAAATTTTCTCACAAAACTATTAATACTACATCAAAAAAACACTAGACTTGAACAATGGTTACAAGTTTATCGAAGCAGTGGGGTTTAGTTAGACTAACCATTTAACATCTAGAAGTTTCATTTAAAGTAAATCACTGTCCAGTGTTTGTTAGCAAATCGATTGACAAAACGATGGATAATATCTGTGTAGCTTAATATAAGGATTGTTAGACGAAATTCTTTTGCACTTAGGTGGTTTACACCAATTTATGCAATTTATGCAGCGCGACTACCAGCCAATGTCACAAGCGAGTATCTGTTCTCCTATCAGACTTGGTGGACGCCGCTGATTACGACTTCTCACTAATGGTCCAGGTAACTTCCTGTATGGAGCCAGTCGCTAGTGAGCATCAGAATAATTATCAAGTGTTGGTCTACAGAGATTTGATTGGTTACAGGATTTACCACGAGATAACATCAGTTAGAGAACCACTGGAAAACCTGGAAGTACTGGACAGCTGTTTCGTCCTAGTTTAGGACTCTTCATCAGTACACGCCCACTACCGGGGTTCGAATCCAGGACCTTCCGGTCACAAGGAAAGCATGTAGACCCCATTCAACCACTGGGACCGTATCCAATGGCGTACTGATGAGGAGTCCCAAACTAGGACGAAACAGCTGTCCAGTACTACCAGGTTTTCCAATGCTTCTTTAACTGATGTCAACTCGTAATTAAACCTGTAATCAATCAAATCCCTGCAAACCAACACTTGATAGAGCCATATATGACACTCATAAATACTACCTTCGATGTGAAATCAGAATTTACCACGATTATTTACATCAGTCAATCCTATATATATATATATATATATATATATATATATATACAAAAGCGTTTGTTTGATTGCAGTAGGCTTTTGGGTAGGAGACCACCTCCAGGTTTGTAACATCCCCAAAATCCCCAAAGTAAAATCAGTAATGCTTTGCTGTAGAGCTTTACATCAATAATGCCAATTGTGATACAGGAATGAACCTTAACTATTTGAGGCGATCCTTTCTGTGTCAATGGTTCACTGATTGGTCGAATGCTAGCCAACCAAACCCCGCGAGGCTCGAGTTCGATTCCTGAATGACGCACTCCTAAACCTCGCTTAGTTTACACTAGTCAGTAATAAGCCCGGTGGAGAGGGACGGTTAGGCGTGAGTCTAGCAATCCTACCCAGTAAAAAAACACCACAGCTAAAGCTTGACGTCCTATATTTCATTCAGAAGGTAAAGCAATGAAAATAAAACCATTTGAGGTGGCTGAGATATGCACTACATATTCCAAAACAATGTTCACCCAGATGCACTAGTGGGTTAACGAAAACGAAAACTAACCGAAACCAGAATATCTGAAGACTTCTCATTTTATTACTCTTTTTTTTAAATTATATTCCTTTGTGTTCCGAGTGGAATATAGAGCTACAAGCTTTTTGAGTTTTGAACTTCCAGTAGCAGTAGTGTTTTCTTTTTACGGGATGAGGTCGACCGAGAATCGAACCCCGCAACCTATGCATGATTGACAAGCATTCTACCACGCTGCACAATCGACGCACGGAAGACTTCCCCAGATACACTGATTTCTTTATTTTACCTTTTGTTACCTCCTAATCCAATAAATTTATGTAGGACACGACAGCCTAAAGAAAACCATACAGTAACGCTGGGTTTTATGTCAATAGATAATTGGTCTTTCTCTCCCTCTTTCTCTTCCTGTGAAGTCTTTAAACCACTTGAAATCGGGTCTTACTTAGAGTTTTTTCCAATCAACCAATAAAAAAGAATTAAATCAAAATTGATATAGTATCTTTTTTTGAAAAAAAATAACACAGTGTTTCAATTTACACTTACCTTCTCAACATCAAATTGTGAATGACTCTGATCAGCATTGATACGTTCATAGTCATCTTTTGCTTTGATCATATCTCGATATTTATCACGATAACGTTTAATCTCATCATCGATAATACGTGTCTGTGATTTTAATTCAGATGATAGTTTTGATCTGCATTCAAAAATAAGAAAATATGAATAGGGATAAAAAAAAGTACTATTCAGCATTGTTCAATGAATAAAGGAGCCGGAGTGGTACTGATGAATAAGTGTAATTGCGTTGACAAAATGAAACAAAATTCCAAAAGCTTAGCAACCCAACAGATCTAGACGGAAAAGCTGGAAAGCAGTTAACTAACACACTTAAGGAGCTAAGAAAAAGTGGAGTAATCTCAAAGGCAGCTCTACAACCGTCTTAATAAACCTATTGGAAGTAATACTTCAAGATTGTACGGTCTGCCCTCTTCGTCCAGTCGTAGACATGTCTGATTCCACCTACCAATGGAGTGGCAAAGTGGCTAGGTGGACTGTTGCACAATGATGTGGTAAATCATAGTGTTAAAGACGTTTTTGAATTCATTTCTCACGTAGATGATATCAATGTAAATGGGAAGCAAATGCTATCCTTAGATGTCGCATCACTGTTCACCAATGTACTATTTATGAAGACTGTGGAATTCATATGCCAACAGATACTAGAAAAACAGTTCGATATCGGAATTCCAATTATTAGTCTGAAAGAGTTGGTTTTTAAGATGTGCTATGAAAGTACACTTCACATTCAACAACCTTCATTACAGACAAATCGACGGTATTGCCATGGCAGATTTGTTTCTTGCTTAGCTTGAAAGTGGTCAATTGAAACAAGTAACAGATAAGATTGATTCTTATTTTCGTTATGCTGATCATAGATACGTTTATTATTCTTGATGTGAAAGCTAAAAAGAATGAAATGCTAATAAAAATTTAATGATGCACATCCATCGCTCATCTTCACTTGTGAAGAAGAACATGATGGTAGACTACATTTCCTTGATGTCCAATTGAGCAGAAGAGAGGATGGTTCACTCAAGAGAGACGTCAGTTTTGTACCGATCTGATACAAAATCAATTTGGTCAGATGCCCCAAAAATAGAGCAAGACGGATCTGTACAGATGACTCCCAAGAAGATGAGTTAGGATACATCCCAAATACGCTGGTCCAAATGGGTTATCCTAGTAGATTTGTAAGAAGACACATGAACACTAGGTATAATAAAGAGAAACTGACAACAGTTGAAAATAAACAACTGTTCCTAAAATTGCAGTTTAATGGAGATGTGGCTAGCGAAGTCCTACATCTAAGATTATCGAGAGCAATAAAACGGACTTATACTGCCGTCGCCCTTTGTTTGTCATTTTCCAGCCGACTAATTATTATTAGTCAAGCGGAAGCCAAGCTACCTAGCTGTGCCACTTCTATATGTATCTACAAATTTAGTTACTCCTGTGGAGAGAGCTATATAGGGCGAACAAATAGACAACTCAACAAATGCATTAATGAGCATCTTCCTTCATGGTTCGGAAAAGGCCAAATAAAATCTATAAAAAGTTCTATTTTGGCTCATTTGATTGATAGCTGTCACCAAGTGGACAAAAATAGTGCCTTCAAAGTTATCTATCGCATTCCATCGAGTCTTTCGAACGGAATTCGAACCCGTCTTTTACACATAGCCGAAGCTATGGGAATTAATTCGAGATAACAATCCTAGTCTTTGCACACAAAAGAAGTTTGTTCTACCTTTGTTTCTTCCTTGGTCGAAGTAAATTCTAGTCAAAACCCTCCAACCCTTCCTTATTTTCCATTTCCTTCGTACTTTTATGATATTTATTTAAACTCTGATTATCTATCCACTTCACCCTTAGTATTACGTAACTTTTGTTATCATTATAATCATCGTTATTAATGACGTTCAAAACATTTACCACATTATTATCATTACCATTATTATTTGATCCACAAAATCACTATCATTGGTTAGAAGTTTTTATAAATAAATCTATGTAAATTAGAGTAAAGCCTGAAGAAGATCTAATTGAAACACTGTTCATTTAATTGGTGGATGGTGACTAGCTGTGGAATCCAGGATAACGCGCATTTCGTCCTATTTGGGACTCGCCATGCCCAGACATCGTCGAAGCATTTGCACAAGAAGCCGACTGATATGTCAACCTGAGACCGAGCACTCCGGTCCAATCAATCGAATCGACGGGAAAATCTAAAATTAAATTAACATGACCCGTTGCACAAGAGGTGGCTCTTCCAGCCCAAGTAGTCTAGAAGATAACGATTTGGCGTTTGAAACTACGGGCACTGGGTTCGAGCCTAGGTGGGAACATCAACATCACACACTGATTGGGGAATGCAGATACACCCAGTAGCTGACGATTCCAAAATAGGACGAAATGGGCGTTATCCTGGATTCCACTGCTAGTCACCATCATCCGCCAATTAACTTCTAATTACATGCATAGACATCGTCGAAGCATATGCACAAGAAGCCGACATGTCAGCCTGAGACCGAGCACTTCAGTCCAATTAATCGAATCTGCGGGAAAATCTAAGATTCAATTAAACAACACTGTTCGCTAGTATGCCTTGTTCGAATAAAGATGTATAGAAAAGCAACAACAACAACAACAGCAAAATAGAGGGCATAAAACATTACCTTTCCCTTTTCCATCGTTTAAACTGTCTACGTTCATCTTCAATAACTGATTTCCCTTCATTACTAGCATGTATTTCAAATGAGCATGAAATTAAATTTTCAGCATCTATAATATGTTGAACAATTTGTACAAGTTCATTGAAAAATGAAACATAACTATTGGAGACACCAAAATATTTTTGTGCATCATTTAAGTGTTTTTCACATAATCGTCTAAAGAAGGGAAAAAAAATAATAATTTAATAATATTAATTAATAACAATAATCATACAAACACACAAATGTTAACCACCTACTTTTGTGCAATAAATGCTTCTTTCTGTAATTTTGCAAATTCAATTAAAAATTTATATAATCTTTCATGAATATTTATTCCATTATCATGATATTTTATGAATTCACTAGCTCTATCCTGTGAAAGATTAAAAAAACAAAACAAAAAAAACAAAGAAGGTTACTCATCAATTATCTCCTTTACAGAGTTCATTTAATACATGTATATATATATATATATATATATATATATATATATATATATATTTGAGGAAGAACTAGCTAAACACATATCTGAGTTCGACAGCTGCGCTCACCCTGAAGAAGCCTGGAAGAATATTCAGTCAGCCATAGATGCAGCTGTAAAAGCTGTGAATAAGGTAAATCCAAAGGTGAGTAAAAACCATTGAATTTCGACTGCCTCATCCGAACTGATAGATGCTAGAAGACTTATTCCGGCGAGCTCCGAATTCAATGAGGAGCGAAAGCTGCACAAAAAGAAACTTACGAAAAGTCTCCGCAAGGACCGTGAACAGTGGTGGTTGACAAAGGCGAAAGAGATGGAAAAAGCATCGGCGATAGGCAACACCAGACAACTATTCAGGCTTATCAGGGAAACAGGTGGTAAAAAACAAATGATAAGTGAAACAATCTCCGGGAAAAATGGCACCATAATTAGCTCCCAGGATAGACGTCTGGAGCGCTGGAAAAAACACTATGAAGAGCAGTTTAATTGGCCCACAGCCACACAACTTGCCGGACATCCAACACCTCCCTGAATGGGAGATAGACACAGGTCCTCCGTTCTTAACTGAGGTTACTAAAGCTGTCACCAATCTGAAGCTAGGCAAAGCAGCGGGACCTGATTTATTGACTCCAGAGGTATTTAAGTACGGAGGCGACAGTTTACTGTCTGCGTTAACGGAGGTTCTAGGCAGCGTCTGGGAATCAGAGGAAGTCCCATCGGGTTGGTGTAAGTCACTGATCATCCCGATATACAAGAAGGGGGACAAGTCATCTTGTGATAATCACAGAGGGATTAGCTTGACTAATATAGTATCTAAAATCCTAGGTTCAATAATACTGCGTAGATTAAGTGGTGCTCGGGAGACACAAACACGAGAAAACCAGGCAGGTTTTAGGCCAGGTAGAGGGTGTATTGATCATATCTTCACCCTTCGACAGATTCTAGAACATAGGCATTCCAACCGGCGTCCGACAATCACTATATTTCTTGACCTAAAGGCGGCATTCGATTCTGTCGACCGGGAGGTTTTCTGGCGATGCTTGGCTGTAAAGGGAATGTCGGGAAAATACATTGCACTGATTAAGGCACTCTACTCGTACTCATGCAGCCAGGTGAGGGCTTATGGCGAGTTGTCATCTGAAGTGGTGACGACTAGTGGCGTCCGTCAAGGATGCCCATTATCCCCATTCCTATTCAACTTCATCATAGACGTACTAATGGGCTTAACCCTAACACACTTCAGCGACTCAGGGATTGACTTGCTACCAGGGAATAATCTCGTTGACTTAGAATATGCGGACGATATAGTCCTTCTAGGCGAGGACTCTGACAAAATGCAGAGTCTACTGAACACCTTGAGCAACAATCTTCGTATGTTTGGCATGCGATTCGCCCATGTAAAATGTAAGATGATGCTGCAGGATTGGACTTCACCGACCCCTAGATTAGAAATAGGAAGTGAAGTGGTAGAGCACGTTGACCGCTTCAATTACTTGGGAATTACCATCAGCCCCAACGGGTTGATCTCAGACGAAATTTCAGCACGAATACAGAGGGCTAGGTTCGCATACGCCAGTTTTCGCCGTCTCTGGCGTAGACGTGATATCCGACTATCGACCAAAGGGCGTGAGACCTGGCCATTGAGAGTGGAAGACATGAAAAGATTAGCTGTCTTTGATCATAGGTGTCTGCGTTCCATCTCCCGCGTGAAGTGGTATGATAAGGTGAGCAATATTGAGGTTAGGCGTCGAGTGCTAGGTAAGGCGGGGAAATCAATCGATGAGACTGTGAAATTACATCGACTGAGATAGTTAGAACATGTGCTACGTATGCCTAGTCATCGCCTTCCTCGACTAACGGGCAATGTTAGCTGATATAGGGCCAGGCTGGAAGAGAGCTAGCGGCGGTCAAACGAAAACATGGCACCAGTCAATGAAATCCACAACAGTTAGTCTAAGCCACGTAGGAAGGTGTAGACTTCCTGGTTGGGGTCCTCGGAACGGTAAAAACCATTGGTTGGAAATAATTGGTGACATGGCTCAAAACCGTTCTCAGTGGCTGGCGCAGATGCATCCACTCCTTGTGACTTATAATTTCCAATTAAACTGTTTGTTCTTCGTTATTACTATTCCTTTGTCTCACACCTCTGTTTACTGTCTATATTATGCATTTCTTCTACTTTCTTCTCTTGCTTTGCGTGCTACATGGAGTGTGGCGACTTGAACTGTCGCACATATGTGCAAAGTTCTATGTCGAAAACCGACCGACCGACCGAATTGTGGATTTTGGACCTCGTAATAACCCAAGTAACAAATTTTAATATATTCTTCCAGTAACTGTACGGATTTTGTATTTTTTTATTTCTATTCGAATCCGGTATATTAAGCTAGCTAAGTCTAAGGTCCGCCACAGCAGTACTAGACAGATGAAGAGTCTCAAACTAGGGCGAAACAGCTGTCCACTATTCACAGGTTTTTCAGTGGTTCTCTAACTAATGTCAGCTCATGATGAAATCCTCCATTCAACATATATATATATATATATGTATATATGTATATATATAAATGAGGAGGCAGTTATTGATTCGACATCTTTCATCATTTAGAAAGTAAGTACTCATACATTAATCCATAGAGTCTTTGACAGTTATTTTGATTCATGTAAGAAGGTGTAGACTGACTGTTTAGGGTCTTTGAAGTGCCAAAAACCAATGCCTAGAGAATATTGGTGATATGGCTTGAAGCTGTTCTCAGTGGAGCCAATGCATTCACTCTTTGACAAAGTTCAACTACAGCATCCCAAAGAATGCGAACGCACGAGTGACCTTCAAGGCGACCAATCATAAAAATGAGGAATTTTCGCTTAAAAAATGACGTATACTTACAAGAAAATGCATGAAAACACATTAAACAGGGTATCTTTCTCTAACATGACTTAGAAATACGTCCTAGTTATATTGAGGAGTATCAGTGGGTATGTTAGACTAGTTTCTGTACATGTATTCACCGAGGTGACTAAAGATGAGCTGTTTTTGTGAATCGTTTATCTCTTTTATCCTGTTGTACTGTCTTCCCCAAAATCCCTCGGTTGAATTAATATGGTTTGCAGTAAGAGGATCGACGACTACTTACCAGGAAAATGTGGATAAGAGAAAAAATTCAGATGTCATCAACCATAAATCTATCCATAATCGTAACCCTAACCCTAACTACAACCCTTATCCTAACCATAAATCTAACCCTGATCTTAACATTAACTCCAATACTTACCCTTACAAGCTATCAACCCATTGTCCAAACAGTACTTAAAAATGTGTTCTGGGTGAAATTTGCTCCTAAGTTTGTGAATAGCGTTGAATATTTCAGCTTTGATAATGACAGGGTGCCGTCAGCCAACGACTAGCATGCGTTCAAGGTCATTGGAGAGTTCGCACTCCTGGGAGGCCATTGTTGAACTTCGCCCACTCTTTATGATCTCTTATATCCATTAGACTCTCATTTCTGTCCATGCTACCATTCTGTATTTAAATTTAGTCAATTAGTCACATCTTATAGCAGGTGTTTTGTCATCTTTGGTTACATTAACCTTAGTGAATACGTAGAGTTAAAGTTAAACTATGATAGCCCCAAAACCATAGTGACCTTGAGCAACCAATCAGAATTCAGATGCAAAAAAGTCACATAATCGTAGAAAAATACACTAAAAAATATTGCGCTAACATGATATTACACAGTATGGTTGTAGCTTATGTGTTGTAAGAATGTCTCCCAGTCACTAAACAGATGATCGATAACGAAATCGTACAATGAGCGATATATTTATTCATCTAGATGACTGTAGGTCATGGTACTTTGAGATCCATTGGTATTTCCGATACTATTCTTCAACCTACCCCTAACTCTAAGCATAATCCTAACTTCTAACCCTAACTTTAACCCTAAACTTAACCTTAACCTCAATCTAAAAAGCCATAAGCCTACCTAATATTGTACATTTGCAGAGGAAGCACGCAGTAAATAAGTAGAATACTGTATCTATCTTCTCCAAGTCCAAAAAGGCCGGTATGATTTGATTAAGAATGACATTTCATAACATTCCCCGTGTCTGATCGGTCCTTGAAGGTCAATTTTTGAAGGACCTTGACTTTGGCTATAATACTTTAACTTTGCCGAAATTTTTTATTTTTCACATTTTATTGTACTATACTACTTTCGTCAGTTTAAACCTAACCAGTGAAAAATTTAAAATAAAAACTACATTTACTTATTCATTCACGAAATAGATGTGACTTTTGACACCTTAATGTTTTACATTTTATAATTAGTTTTCTAATTTACAATGTTCCGCTATTCATTATGCAAAATCAATCCATGATAGAGTTGTTGAATAAAATTTTAGCTAAAAATGACGAATACATTTACTACTTTTTATTTTTATTTGGTCGACTGATTTTATGAAACTCACGATTGAATAATTCACAATTATTAAGTTTAAGAACAGTAAAAGGAATCTCTAGGAATGCAACGGAATTATAATACATGGAAATATATATGGGAGAAAAAATAAGTACGTGGAGAATAATCAGCTGTATGACCAGTAGTCTCCAGTCATTAGTTCTTAGAGTCTCGAGAACCCCAAACCAGGCAGTCTACACCTCCCTTAATAGCCGAGACCAATAGCCAAAGAATTCATTGATTGATATTGTGTCTTTATTTATTCATTTCCAACTCTTTTGCAACCTAATCTTAACATCGGCTTACATGACTCGGCGAGGAAGGCGATAGCTTGATAAGGGCAACACGTGTCCAATCTGGGAAGCAACTATTTGGAACCAGTCACAAACAGTCTGTTTGGACTAGTTTATAGAGTTGCTTCCACGTGAACATCCTACTCACCCAGCCAGGGACCACGACAGGGTATGTCAGGATATAAAACTTTTGGGGTCGAACTTTCCAACTCCTCATCCCAGTGCTGAAGGCTTGTAGACGGCTTGCTGGTGGTCCAAGGTAAACGGGTTATTGCAGTTACAATCCTACTCGCCAGCATTACGACTGAAACATAATTTACATGATTTAAACTATGCTGGGAAATGGTTTTAATATAATCGATAAATAAACAACCTTTCTGTTATGGTAGGACTTCCCAGAAATAATCACTCTAGCCAGTATACTTTGTCAGGTAATTGAGATATACAAACCCAACGACGAAGTCGAAGTAACAGCTATCGGGCTGAACTAATTTTTACGCTGCCATATGATTTGTCTAGTGACAAAGCAAATTACTTCTGGTAAGTGAGATCCCCATTATTTCCTTTAAAGCTGATAATTTTAAATAATTACTGACTTGAAGTTACGAATTCAATCGTCCACAGTAGAGATGTGATAAATGTAAAACAAACCGTTGAGAATTCTCTATCAGTGGTTTACTTTTCGTGGAAGTTCGAAAAGTAAATGAAACACCTCGCTTCAATTTCATCATAAAGTGATGGCATTTTTACTCTCCATAAAATTCTCGAATGCTTAAGAAAAGATACACCACTATACCAGCAACCCGATGTAATCAAAAACTAAACCATTTTAATCGAAAATATTTATATAACTAAATCTCTGAATTTTACATACACATTTAACATTAGTTGTGCAATGAACTGGAACACTCCATTTTAGAATTAAAAGATACAGACATCACCAGATATAGTTTTCTAAACATATTAACCAGAAAGTGGAAATACTTCAGCGTATTTACATCTAAATGCACAATGATACGTTAGAAAATGTTTTTAGTTTCATCACGATGGAACTGACAGTCTTACTTGAACAATTATTTAGTTATTTGGTCTGGTTGAGCCTAAATAAAATCTATTAAGTAATCTAGAATTGTAAAGTTTTCAAGTTTATGCTTCTGGTTAAATTGACGTTAACACCTAGACACCAGTGGTTAAGCATCTGTTGTAAAGTAATTAATAGTCTGGACTGTGAAAATAAAGCTATTTATAATTGGTTGTCAAAATCATTCTACCCGTAGTAATTTGTGAAAGGACTATGATGTGGCCTGAAGTTGTAAGAGGGATGTGAAATTCTTCTGAAGAATTCTCTGATGAAGTTTGAAATATTCAAGAAAGCCACCTTGACCCAATTCGTTGAGAATGAAATGCGATATCACAATTATTTTAATTCTTACATGCTTTTCTCCCTCACTAAAATTTACTTAAGCATAATCTAAACATTAAGTAGGAACTTTAGAGAAGTATAATAAACTGGAAAGATGAGAAATTAGAACAGGACATGTGGAGCATAAAATGTCACTGATCTTAAGGGAAAAAGGAGAGACAAAACAACTTCCTTTTGCATAGTTTTATTTATCAGTTTCGATGGTCACAGAAAACCTTACAAGGGACTTTATAAATCCGTATGAATGTATTTCGACTGTAATAAGAAAGCTTCGAAAACGAAGAACAAAGTCGTTTTCAGCAACCAAGAACACATAGTTTGGAAATCAGCAGGTTTGTTTGAGCATAGTGCAACATGTTGATACTTTTATCAATTTAGACGATAGCTGTTATGGAACTCATGGACTGAAATCAGCTTTTACGATGAACATATCAACTGCACCTACAACCTGTCGGATGCTTTCCCAACTAATTACAAATACATAAGGAAATCTGTTGTCAGTTAAAGAGTATACGATTTGTGTAACCTTTGGATTAAAAGCAATAGACCGTACAAATATTAACTGAAAATATTTAGGTGATAGTTCATCTAACACACTCCATTAATTAGCTGGCTTTCAACACGAAAAATATGGGTAGGAACATAACTTATCACGAAAGACCAATAAAATACAAACGATAGCTGAATAAAAACCTGGATTGTGTGAAAATAAATACGCGCAGCAACAACACAAAGGAATTTTGCATTTGAAACAAATGGCACTACCACTAGTGGGTAGTTGTATTGTTCTAAAGATTTTCACACATACAAATTACCTCACCATATTTTTACATCAACTATTATTTGAACTAGAGCGGAAATCACTTAACATTATGTTTGCATAGGCTCATGAGCCTATTATAATAAACTCGAATATACTAGTTATTCTGGGGATTTGACCAACACATTAAAACGCTATTAGCAATAGAGTGGGGGTCTAATTTCTTTTCCATTGAATCCCTAAACAATGTTCGTTTAGTTTATCACTCGTTTGAAAATACAAAAATCGTTATTTTAGAGAATATTATATACCAAATGCCCAAATTTCTCCAAACTGTTATAGATGAACTTGGTTTCTACACATATAAATTTTAGTTCCAAAAAGTTCAGAGAGTATTTAATGGTTAAAAAGCTTGCCAAGAAAATTTTGATCAAACTATCACCTTTTAGGCAATATATGGCAATTCGGAAACATGATGCGAAGCTAGGAGTCATAATAAATGAAGTCCAAATAGGTAATTTTTTATTTTTATTTTGATTACAGCTTGATGCCACACCGTATTTTCAGTACAAGTATGGCATTTTCAGCATGGATATCGGTAGCCCAAATTCAGGCCGACCATAGATACCGGGTGTGCGTCGGCAGGGGATCGAACCTCGGACCATGTGCATGGTCGGCGAGAGTCCTAACCGCTGTCAAGGAGACTCCTGGTTTTTCAGTTTAAAGCCTATCTGTTCTATAATTTTATTTTCACGGTGCATAATAACCATTCAAACTGCCGTGTAGACTCAATTTAACTGTTACTTTCTCGTTGAGTAATACTTGATGCCAAAAACTGTTGTTAATGAATAAAAACATGAACAGGCGTCCTTCAAATTTAAGGTGTCATTTCGCGTACATAACGCAGATATGAAATTCAATAAAAGAAGAAGTATAATGTTTACCCAGAGATCCACCCAAGAAGACGACTGAACCATCGTACTAAACACGGCTTGTCATTCCAATGTAACGCTACCGACAAACTGCCGCAACTATGATTTAATTTTGACCTTTCAGTGATTCAATATTCAATTTAGGTTGTTTCTCTCTTATATAAATTACAAAGAGAAAATAGATGCGGAGAAAATTCTCGATTCTCTACGGTGAATGGTGTGTATCCCGACAGCCACATATGAAGATTTCATGAAAAACTATTGTTCTGCTGCCGTGAATCATAGTAACGGCGGCCGTTCAGACTTACGAAGCATGGGACAACATCTTATACAGGAGGTGACTGCGATATTCCGCGTGTTCTCGAAAATTCACCACATCCTCATCTTCGTGAGCAGAGGAATAAAATGTGTGACAAAGGTGAGGTGTCATTATTGATGACAAATAGGCAAATGTGACACCTTCTCTCACCATCTGCACTTGTGCGCCGGTGGCACAGTTGTCAGGACTCGCGCCGACCATGCACATGGTCCGTGGTTCGATCCCCTGCCGACGCAAACCCGAAATCTATGGTTGGCCTGCAAAATTTGGGCTACCGATATCCATGCTGAAAATTCCATACTTGTACTGAAAATACGGTGTGGCATCAAGCTGTAATCAAAATTAAAAAAGGACTTTACGAAATACTTGCTTTCAATCTCAGGTATACATGTACTGGATAAACGAAACTTTCAATCAGCCCTGTCACTCATCCTAAAGTGGAAAACTCAGCTTGTGAAAACACTAAAATTTCAAGACACTAAATATATGGTCATCCCAAGTCTGTTTTAATTTCTCTGATGCAGCTGCAACCCAAGCTAGCACTCTGGCGAGATCACACATGTCGTAAGCGGATAGCCCTACCCGTAGAATGGGCCACAAGTTTGGAGGTCAGTGTGGTGACTGGGTTTTAAAAAAACCTATATCCCATGAGCTGTTCTCCACCACGTACTATGAGCGATGAGGCTACTCGGTAGGCGATAAGCGGATGATAAATAAGGAGTGACGAAAGGAGTACCAATTAGAAAAGGTGATTTATTTATATCCATGGCGGTACATTTTCTAAAGAATGGTATTGAACCATGCATACTCTGTGTGTTTGGCTAAGTTTCTTCGCTTGCCTTGCACAACAGCACGCCCATCAAATCCATATTCCATTTTAGCCCATGATCAGGTGAAAAGCATTACGATAGCAGCAGTAGAATTAACTGAAGATAGATTAAAAAGACGAGACGTTCATCAGATAAATCTATAAGTTAGATTTCTCCCAGTAGGTTACAAGTGAATTCAGTACTGATGCCTGTTGTCCTGGCATATTTTCCCATTATGTTGCGTAAATCTTAATCTAGCTAGGTTTTCATAACGAATCACTGGATAATTTTAGCCTGGACCATCCGGAGGGAAGGAATGATATAGTCCACAAAAATCAGTAGTTTCTGGGACCGAAGATGATCTGCTCAATACTTTAGAGGGTGCTATCTCGACAGTTTGCAGCCATTAAATCTTTGCGCGATACAGTGGGCATAAAATATGCGGCAGCTGATAATAGTTACATACTGAAACTTCAGGAAAATAATGCGCGACAAAGCAGATTCGTGACTTTCAAAATTATTCTGCACCCTCAAAAGCTTATTAAATCACCTGATACTGCTCGATGTGAATTCGCTACGCATGTGGTCATGGTATTTTCACACTTTTGAGATGAATGTCAAGTTTAGATTCCAGGGATCTAGGTTCTGGTGACGTCATGCCCCTCATATCTCCTAAGTCTGGAGTTGTCAGGTGGAAACGGATACACTCAAGGAAAAGACCTATATTTATTTCTGAAAACGGTTATTTGAACCTACAATCTTACGAAATTTGCTCATAGGCAGAGGCTGATGTAGGATCTTTATACATCACAGGACATTTTATAAACAATAGGGTGGGTGATTGACGAATAAACAAGGAGGAGAAGAGTAACCATATATGAACTATACCTCCTTCGTGCTTTATAAGACTGCTAATTTCGGTTGAACTGTGTTGAATGATGAGTGTCATTCCGTGTCTTTGACTAGACTTTCTATCTTGACTTGCTTATCAGAGCATTTACGAGATATACGCTTTGAATAAACTGCTGTCTTCTAGCTTTATAGGGGGTGTACTCGAAAATATATTTTTTCTATTTATGTAGGACACCAATTTTTCAGGCATGGATGAGTATTATTTAAATTACATAACTTTGATTTATGGTGATATTACATGGTTGCTGTCCTTTTCTGCTAATTAGCCTTTCAATGGAGCACATTAAGAAATATAGAAATATTGTCTTCGCATTGAGAAAAGAAACATAAGTATGTGTTGGATGAATTACACATACTTGAGAAAAAATAAAGCTTGAAGTCAATTCCCCCATATAACTTTGGTGTGTGCAGCATCGGATCTTGTTCTTAATTTGTATCCTAATTGGGTATTAATTGAAAATAAGTGATATATTTGTATAAATTTGCCAGCAATTTCATCGTAGGTAACACCAGAACTGAATTGCATTCAATGGAGACTAGCATTGGTCATTGTCAGGCAGATTTGTCTTACTGCGCTGAGGTCAGCTAAAAACCGCTATTTGTCACTGCATGGTTGTTCTGTACGAGTAAGTTGATTAACATGTAGTATGGTATTTGTAAGCCATTTTAGATCATGGATACTGCTTGCATAGGATGCTGTACAGCGTCCTGATATGGTGACAGTGGATTTTCAAGGATGCTGAGTCACTACTAGCCAAAATCTTGAAGGGTGATTTATAAGTAAGTGACTTCAATTGCTGCTCAGCTTCAGTCTGATTGTAGATCTGTGCAACTTCTAATACAGGGCAAATAGAAGAGAAGAGGCAAGCAGCAAAATACCAAAGAGGAAAGAAAAAGTATGTGGAGTCGAATATGACCCTAATGTTTGTACTTATATGTTTATATTCCTTGTACATTGCCATCTGGTAAACATATATATTTTTATTTCTACTCAGTTTTTTTATACATCTCTGCGACTAGTTCGTTTATCGTTCATGGAGTAAATAGGGAATTTATGCGCGCCTTTTAGGTGGTGAAGTAAACTGATAATTGTTAATGCAATCAATAGAGTGAAACAGTCTGTACAGAGAGCGTTTGAAACTTATAACCCAGGTGCAAACTCTGACTTCTAGGGGTAGGCTGTTCCACGTTTTAGAATACATGACTGTGAAAAAGTTTTCGCGGAGTGTTGACTTAAAGGCTTTTATTGTCACTGTGCAAGTTTGGTTACGCAGATCGTAAGAGCCTTCCGGTGAGAATTGTATGTCCTTATTGTCTGAGAATGATACTTTGTGTAGGACGTTAGAGAAGAATACTAGGTTTATAATAAGTCGTCTCGTCAAAAGTGGGTCAAGATTTAGAATCATGCACTGTGAGATGTAGTCTTTTTTACAAGCGTAGCCAAGTAGTTTGGACGTGAAATATCGTTGGATACTTTTCATCCTTAGTTTGTCAAGTGTGCGGGTCCTGCTAATAATAAATGGATAGTATTCCAGTAGTAGCTTTACACATGTTTCGTATAGAAATAGCTTGGCTTCATTGTCGTGGAAGTTCCTGAACATGCGTCCTGAGAGCATCCTCGACTTTCGAGTCTGTGATGCCACTTGCTCAGAGAATATTTGGTCACCAGAGTACCTCAGGCCTAAGTCAACAACTTTGTGGTTGTTTTGATAGAGGAGTTGGTTATTTGTGCGTATTTGATTTCACATCATGGCGGGCTTCTGAAAAAGAAATCAAGATTTTTCTAGGAGTCATTCATAAGAGAATTCAGTACAACCCCAAAAGCTGTGTCAGCAGACGTGCTGAAGAGAAGTTTTTCGTCTTGATGAGCTGACATATTGTCGTCTGGAATAGGCGCCTTGGTGCCATAGCTTTTGTGGTTATGTTCATAGTTTCGCACTTGCACTTGGGGAATTTACTGCTGCAACTAAAAGTACACAAACTCAGGAATAGAAAAGTAATTATATCCAACAGTTACAAAATAATTTTGTATCACTTAACAATGTCTCATCTAATACATTTTCTAATAACGTCTTCACTTGCTCATTATATTCCACTAAACCTAACATTTTATAGCTCTTTATGAATTTGATTCGACTTATTTTACTCCTATTCTCTATAGGGTACGGTTGTGCACCAAATACACAAAAAGGTATGAAATAAAAACAACCGGCTTGTGGATAATTGTATTAAACCAAAAGTGGACAACATGATAGTAAAACCTATAGGGTAGCATTATACATTGCAAAGGAACTTTGTCAACTTAGGGATTATAGTCTCCCATTGTATTTCCTTTATGAATGCATATATTAATGATACATTGCATTTACCTATTTCATTACACTTTAATGATTCACCTTTGCACCTTTACTTTTCTAAAACAGCTTACTATCCCTTGTAGACGTTGTACTTACCTCAATATTGGTTGGTTATCGTATGCCTACAACTACGGGTTGAAAACGAAATGAAGTCGATTTTCCTGCGCAACCTGGAGGACTACTGTTTAATTCAATAATGATACGACATGGGTCAGACAAAGAGTGTATTTATACATATATCAAATATTTAGCTGTTCAAACATTACTAACTTGTAGACAATCTACTATTTGACATTGTATCATACTTGATCGTGCCTGTAAAAATGGCATGCATTTTCATGTAAATTTATGTTTATATGAAAATATAAAATTATTATAAAAATTATTATTTGAGGGCAGTGATGATGCAAAATCTTAAATCTCTTGTACCTTTTCAAGTGCCTCGCTAGCTGATCACTCGTCTCAGAAAAGACAGCTAACAAATGGTAGTGTGACTGATTTCCAGTGAAAAACGTTTTAGGTAGCTGCATCTACTATAGCAGCCGAAACCAACGTGTTGTGATTTGAACTCTGGAAATCAACATTTTAGTCACAGTTTTTACATAACCAAGGATTCCTTGAGTTACTCGCAGTCGGAATATATCTTGGCGACATTAAAAACACAGTTAATTGCAATAGAATCTGCAGTACTATTTAA